CGGAGGCCGTTTTACGGGGCGGCTCTCCTGCAGGTGGAGGATGGGCCCGGACCCGTGCGCCGCGCTAGCCCGGGCAGCAGAACTGTCTGGCTTGGTGGTTGTCCAAGAGGCAGGATAAATGGGGGAGCGGGTTAAAAGTCCCCCTTTAGAAATTGGAGTCGGTTCACAAGTGAAATGAGTTTGGAGGCCTCTGCCTCTGAGGGGCTTGGGCCCAAGTCACCAAATACTCTCAGAATCCTAGATCACTAGGACTGGCAGGGACCTCGAGAGTCATCGAGTCCAGTCTCCTGCCCTCACTGCAGGACCAAGCACCATCCAGACCATCCCCGACAGGCATCTGTCCAACCTGCTCTTAAATATCGCCAGGGATGGAGACTCCACAACCCCCCCAGGCAACTTATCCCAGTGTTTCACCCCCCTGACAGGCAGGGAGTTTTTCCTAATGTCCAACCTAATCCTCCCTTGCTGCAGTTTAAGCCCCTTGCTGCTTGTCCTGTCCTCAAAGGCCAAGGAAAACAATTTTTCTCCGCCCTTTTAGGCACTTGAGAACTGCTGTCACGTCCCCTCTCGGTCTTCTCTTTTTTTCAACTAAATAAGCCCAGTTCTTTCAGCCTTCCCTCCTAGCTCATGCTCTCTAGACTTGTGATCATTCTTGTTGCTCTTTTCTGGACCCTCTCCAATTTCTCCACATCTTTCCTGAAATGCGGTGCCCAGAACTGGACACAACCCTCCAACTGAGGCCTGACCAGCGCAGAGCAGAGCGGGAGAACGACTCCTCGTGTCTGGCTCACAATACTCCTGTCAATGCAGCCCAGAATCAGGTTTGCTTTTTTTGGAACAGTGTCCCACTGTTGACTCATATTTAGTGTGTGGCCCACTCTGACCCCTAGATCCCTTTCTGCCGGACTCCTCCTAGACAGTCGCTTCCCATTCTGTGTGTGACACGGATTGTTCCCTCTAAGTGGAGCACTTTGCATTTGTCCTTATTAAACTTCATCCTCTTTACCTCAGACCATTTCTCCAGTTTGGCCAGACCATTTTGAATTTTGACCCTCCCTCCAAAGCCCTTGCAACCCCTCCCAGCTTGGTATCATCTGCAAACTTACTAAGCGTCCTCTCTATGCCAATATCTAAATCGTTGATGAAGATTTTGAACAGAACCGATCCCAAAACAGACGCCTGCGGAACCCCCCTTGCTCTGCCCTTCCAGCATGACTGTGAACCGTTAATAACTACTCTCTGGGAATGGTTATCCACCCACCTTGTAGTAGCCCCATCTAGGTTGTATTTGCCATTGATAAGAAGGTAATGCGAGACTGTCAAATACCTTACTAGAGTCTAGGTATCCCACGTCCACCGCTTCTCCCTTATTCACAAGACTTGCTATCCTATCAAAGAAAGCTGTCCGATTGGTCTGACGTGATTTGTTCGTTACAAATCCATGCTGGCTGTTCCCTATGGCCTTGCCACTTTCCAAGTCTTTACAGATGATTCCTCCATTACTTGCTCCATTATCTTCCCTGGCACAGAAGTGAAACTGACTGGTCTGTAGTTTCCTGGGTTGTTCTTATTTCCCTTTTTATAAATAGCGCTAGATTTGCCCTTTTCCAGTCTTCTGGAATCTCTCCCCACTTGCATGACTTTTCACAGATGACAGCTAGAGGCTCAGATACCTCCTCTAGCAGCTCCTTGAGTATTCTAGGTGCATTTCATCAGGCCCTGCTGACGTGCAGGCATCTCACTTTTCTAAATCATTTTTAACTTGTTCTTTTTTTTGTTAATTTTAACTTCTAACCCTCCCCCCAAAGACGTCGTTAGCGCCTCTGCCGTTTCCAAGTTTCCTGTTTCTTCCTCCTCACTGAGCAATGGGCCTAGCCTGTCCTTGGTCTTCCTCTTGCTTCTAATATATTTGTAGAATGTCGTCATGTTACCCTTTATGTCGAGCTAGTTTGAGCTCATTTAGTGCCTTTGCCTTTCTAACCTTGCCCCTGCACTCCCATGGTGTTTGCTTAGATTCATCCTTTGGAATTTGTCCTAGTTTCCACTTTTTCATTTTTTTCCTTTCTGATGTTTAGCTCATGCAAGATCTCCCGTTTGATCCAAGGTGGTCTCCTGCCAGACTTTGTCTTTCCTATGCAGCGGAGTAGCTTGCTTCTGAGCTCTTCATAATGTCCCTTTGTAAAACTGCCAGCTCTCTTCAGTTGCTTTTCCTCCTAGGCACGGTCCCATGGGAAGCAAGACTACCGGCTCTCCTGAAATCCACTGTCTCTTGTGCTGTTCTCCCTTCTGTCGTTCCTTAGAATCACGAACTCTGATTCATGGTCCCTTTCGCCCAAGCTGCCTTCCACTTTCAAATTCTCAACCAGCTCCTCCCTTTCTGTTAAAATCAAATCTAGACCAGCTTCCCCCAGTAGCTTCTCAGCCTTCTGAAATAAGCAGTTGTCTCCAATGCCGTCCGAGCTTGTTGGCTAGTCGGTGCGCTGCTGTGTGTGTTTCCCACCAGATGTCTGGGTAGTTGAAGTCCCGTCAGCACCAAGTCCTGCGCTTTGGATGATTTTAATCGTTTAAAACAAGCCTCATCCCCCTCTTCTCCCTGGCTAGGTGCCTGGAGTAGCCCCCTAGCATGACATCCCCCTTGTTTTTTACCCCTTTTCACCTAACCCAGAGACTCTCCACGCGTCTGTCTCCTACGTCCATCGCCACCTCAGCCCAAGCGTCTACATGTGGAATATACAAGGCTGGCTGTTCCCATCTATCCCAGCATGCCAGCCGTGTGTGTTTCCCCCCGGGTCTCTGGGGTACTGGGGAGGGGGCAGGAGCTGCAGGTCCGGGCTGAGGCTGCTGAGCGGTGACCCCCGTTTCTCTCGTCCCCAGATGAAGACGTGTGCGTGTTTAAGTGTTCCGTGTCCAGGGAGACGGAGTGCAGCCGCGTCGGCAAACAGTCCTTCATCATCACGCTGGGCTGCAACAGCGTCCTCATCCAGTTTGCAACGCCCACGGGTACGTCTGCTTCCCGCCCCTCGGGCACCGGGCACGCCAGCCCGACTCCCCACAGGGTGATGGGCCGGGCTCTGGGCCCTGGCCAGCCGGCTGCGCTGGGACACGAGCCCACCCAGGGCTGTCTCCTGGCTGCCCTGGGAGCCTGCCCCCGCCCGAGAGCGGAGGGGCTGTTGCCTGGCCTGAGCCCTGCCCCTCCTTGCGCACCAGCGACCCCAGCTGGCTGCTGTGGGGAATAGCATGGACTAGAACCCCGGGGCTGCTGCTGGCTCAGCCCCTGACTTGGCTCCCTTTGCCCCCAGGCCCCCTCCTGGGCAGACACG